TGCACCTCACACTCACTCCAGAGAAATCTAATTCCAGAGGAAAACTGAGAGGTGTTGAGGGTTGTAAACAGCAGCCACAGTGGAGCCAGTGCAAAGGTGCTCCTGGGCACACGTGGAGTGCTGCAGAGAATCGCTCCGGCCTGTGATGTCCGAGTTGAGCTTCCGGGCGGCCAGCAATGCTTGTAGGAATAGAGGAAGACCAGGCTGGGGGCTCTGAAGGCCCAGGGTGCTCTCTGCCCTGTGGCTGGTCCTCCAAGAAGCTGTCTGGCCCAAGGGGGAGGGCAGAGGAGCTACCAACTTGCTCCCCACCGTGGGCCCCGGGCCGCAGGAGCAGGACTATGCCCGGCAGGTCGTGCTCCCCTGGCACCGAGCGGGTTAACGTTGGCCGCACTGGGCAGGTTGCCGTCTGGCTGTTAAGATTCACAGCTATACATGGAACACAACAGACTGTGAAATGTAATAAATCTGGAGTTGCCTCTCAATTTCACCAATAATAATTAGCAAATTAAAATGGAAATGTCACCACAAACCCATAAAAATTCGTAAGTGCAGCATGGAAAACTGTCTCGGGAACAGAAATGGCTTTTGTCCGTGCAATACCCAGGGCAGACACGCCGTCCAATGTTCCTCGGGACGGCCATTGTGCCCAGAGAGCCCAGCGCGGAGCTGATTAATCCCAGGGTTGGCTGTTTTTACGTGTCAGCAAGCTAACATAACTGTGTCATCAAGCCTGCTTTATGGAGCCTGTAATACGTGGACAGGGGCTGAAGCTGTTACTCGAACAAGGCAGAGGGCAGCAGAAAACATGCCGGCCTCACCTCTCCTTCTCCGTGGCCGGCACCCCAGCCGCTGTGCAACCATTTGGCCTAACTAGGGGAGGACTGGGAAATTTTGAGCAAACCGTGTACCATCTGGCTTGTGTTTTGCAGTTGAAAGCCGAGAATGCCCACCCCTCACAGCAGAGTGCCACGGAAGAGTCCCCTCCAGCCGGCCCCAACTTGCCACTCCTGACTACCAGCCACGTCTGTCAAGGTGGCCATGAGCTCCCTCGAGGGAAAACCCAACCGTGAAAACCCAAACTTTCCCCAAGTCAACAAAAGATGGAGACACTATCCACGTTATGCAAAACAATTCTTTCTATCAGGAAATAATGAGACTCAGCCCTTGCACTTCTCACAGGGACCAGTCTGATCCTCGTACCTGAAACAAACAAAAGTCTGTAGTAGTCAGTGTTCTCCAGTGAGACAGAAACAAAAGGAGAGCCAGAGAGCTTGCGCGCAATGTGTCCATGGAAGGAGATTTACTGTAAGGAATTGGCTCACATGATTATGGAGGTGGACGAGTCCCAGGACCTGGGGGAATGAGTTGGCACACTAAACACCCAGGATGACCGATGTGTGGTTCCAATACAAAGGCTGGCAGGCTCTGGACCCAGGGAGAACCAATGTTCCAGCTCAGATTTTCAAAAGAGCAGAAAAAGTTCAAGACTTTGGACACCAGCAATAAACTTATCCCTAAGAGATGGGAAATGAAAGAGGCAAGCCCTAAAATCACCCCCCACTGACTGCCTCCTGTTTCCAGGACGTGGCACAGACAAGCGTTGTGCACTCCCCAGGTGGAGAAAGCCTCGCTGAGAGTCTCAGAAAACCCAGGCAGGAAGAGGTTGCAGGACAGGGTATCAGAGGAAAGACAGCTTCACAGACATAGAGACCTCTGGGGATCTGCAAATGGTCCCCTCGAGTATTCCACTGCGTACTGGCCAGCACATGAGTGCAAGGAAACATCTCAAGTCCTCAGAAAAAAAACCCTTTCTAAAGATTGGAGAGAAGAGAACCCAGTGCTCACACAGAGCAGGGATGCTGCCTATTAACCCCAGGTGGTCTAGAGAACCTCAACTTCCCAGGGCCTGGGGGAGACTACACAGAATGTCTTGCCTCGGGGTAATAATTATCCATAGACTGAACAGTAATCAATGACCTGAGCTTCCACTTGAAGAAACTAGAAAAAGAAGAGGAAATTAAGCCCAAAGGAAGTGGAAGAAAGGAAATAATAAGAATCAGAACAGAAATCAGTGATATAGAAGGAAAAAGTGGAGAAAAATCAATGAAACCAAAAGTTGGCCTTTGAAAAGGCCAATAAAATTGATAAACCTCTAGCCAGACTGATCAGACTAAAGAAGAGAGAATACAGAAGTTACCAGTATCAGGAACAAGACAGGTGCATCCCTACAAATTCTCCAGATGAGTAAGGGAGTTTAGTTAACCATTTCAGGACACAAGATCAATATACAGAAGTTAATTGTATTTCTATATACTGGCCACCAACAATCAGAAATTAACATCAGAAAGAATAAACCATTCATGGAATATCAAAACTGAAATGCTTAAGGATAAATCTGATTTTTTTTAAATGTGCAATATCCATACACAGAAAACTATAAAACATTGCCATGCGAAATTAATGATGACCTAAACAAACAGAAAGGTATACAGGGTGCATGGGTCATAATATGCATTCGAGTGAAGACGACGGTTTCCCCCCATCAGATCTACAGATCCAGCGCCATCTTGTTCTAAATGACAACACGCTTTTTGCTGGAAATTGACAAGCTGATTCTAAAATTCATGTAGAAATGCACATGAAGAAATTAGAATAGCTGAAACCATTTTTAAAAATAGTTGGTTGCTTTCAAGATTTACTATAAAGCTACAGCAATCAAGACAGTATGTTATTGCATGAGTATCAACAAACTGATCAATGGGATAAAATAGAGCCCAGAAATAGATCCACATACATATATGGATAACTAGGGTTTTTTTTTTTTTAGTAAAGGTGCAAGGCAATTCAGTGGGGAAAGAATAACCTTTTCAACAAATGGTGCTGGAGCAGTTGGATATCCAAGGACCAAAAAAAGTGAGCTTCTATTCATACCTTGCACAGTGTATAAAAGTCAACTCAAAACTGATAAAAGTGTACAACCAAAAACCTTCTATCAGAAAGCTTTTGTGCTCTTGAGTAGGCAAAGATTTTTGTGCGACACTAAAAGCACAATCCACACAATAACAAACTGATAAATTGGACTTCATCAAAATTTAGAACATCTGCTTTTTGAAAGATACAGAATAAAACGAAGAGACAAGGTACAGACCCAGAGAACAATAGTTGCGACGCATATTTCCGATAAAGACTAAGTTTCCAGAACACTTAAAGGACATATAAAAAGAAAAGAAATTACCCAATTTTTAGCAACAAAATATCTGAATAGATACTTCACCAAAGATGTCCAGATGGCAAAGAAGAGTGTGAAAAGATGCTCAGTGTCATAAGTCATCAGAGAAATGCAAATTCAAACGACAGTGAGATCCCACTGCACATCTATTACAAAGTCTACAGTTGAAAAGATGTTCTATACGAGTGTTGTGTGTACATGGAGGAACCAGAACTCTCATACTAAGGGATGTGTAAAATGGTACGGCTATTTTGGAAAATAATTGGGAATTTCTTCACGAGTCAAACCACATGATTCAGCCATTCCAAACTCAGGTGTTTACATTTATATAAGCATGTGTTCATGCCAAAGGCTTGTACACCAATATTTCTAGTAGCTTTCTAGTAATGGTCAAAGACTGGAAACAACAAACTGTCCCACCAATAGGTGAATGAATAAGTCATGGTACATCTACACGCTGGAATACTTCTCAGAAATGTACAAAGGAATGAGCTATTGATACATACTATGTGAATGAATCTCAAAATAATTATGCTGAATGCAAGAAACCAGACTTCCACCCTTCCTAAAAACAGAGAGTATATACAATCTGATTCTATCTCCTATAAAATTCTAGAAAATGCAAACTAATCTATCATGCCTAGGCATAGTGTGGGAGGGGCCACAGGAGGGACAGAGGGGAAGGATTCAAAGGCACCATGAGGAAACATCTAGAGTAATGGATGTGTTCGTTACCTGCATTGCTCTGAAGATGTCTTAGTTTGCTCAGGCTGCCATTACAAAGTACCACACACTGAGTGGATTAAACCACAGAAACTTGGCTTCTGACATTTCCGGAAGCTGGAAGTCTGAGATCAAAGGGTCGGCAGAGTTGGTACCTCCTGCGGCCTCTCTCTGGCGTGTAGATGGCCGTCTCCTCCCCGTGTCCTCACCTGGTCTTTCTCTGTGTCCTAATTTCCTCTTCTTGTAAGGACATCCACCATATTGAATTAGGGCCCATCCTAATGACATCATTTCAGCTGAACTACCTCTTTCAAGCCCTTGTCTCCAAATACAGTCACATTCTGGAGTATACGGGTTAGGACTTCAGCCTTGGAACGGGGGGAGGTATCATTTACTTTCTGTTAGCTATACTTCAATAAAGCTGACTTTCAGAAAATACTACTCGCAGATTATTTTGTTTGTGCTTGTTTAATAATGAGTTCTTCCACTGCATGCAATCTGGTTCATCCGAGTGCGGTTGGGGCATAATTGTTGGGAATAAAATAGTCTTCTATGAGAAGGCCTGCCCGTATGTTTCTTTTCCACAATTTCTTGTAACTTTTCATGCTTTTCTGGGCTCGCTCCACCCTAGAGACCGACCGCCCTGAGTTCCACACGGAGAACAAGAAGGACTCACTGGTCTTGAGAAGGAACCGGTGTGGGATCAAGGCTGCCGTTTCCGCACTCAGCTCATGCTCGAAGGGCGAATACTTGTTAACCACTTACCTTGACTTTTCAGATGCTCTGGTAGCTGAACAGCCTCCCTGAGAGTCTTCCTGGACCCAAATCCAGGAGGAATTTCTCCCCCCACCCCCCGCCCCCGCCCCATAAGCAACCTACAATTCCCGGAGGGAAGACCTAAACCCCCATCCTCCTCAGTCTGTCCACAAATGCCCACAATCATGCATGGTCTGTCCACAAATGCCCACAATCATGCGTGGTACCGTAATCATTCTCAAGAAAAGGCTGATGTCTTACAGATGTTTCCTCCTCCCTCCATCCTTCCCAGAAGGTGTCTCTGCTCCCTACTTTGCCTCGGGAACCCCTGGGGCATGCATCCGCCCAGGAATCGTTGGACAGGATCCCCCCAAACCCCCCGCCTGGGGCAGTGCTGGGGCTTTGGTCCAGATGACACGTGGCTCAGAGAAACAATTGAACCAGGGAGAGAAGGACTCCGTCCAGTCCAAATACGTAAGTCACTGAGGACAGGTCTTAAGGAAGCAGCCCATACCCTGTCACTCTACCTCATTAATTAATCTGTTTATTTCCTTTGCACCACTTAGCACGCATGTCTGTGTCAGTCACTGAAACGTAAGCCCTATAAAGCAAGGGACTTGTTTTCCTCATCCATTACAGTGTCCCAAACACCTAACAAAACCTGACACATGCCGGGTGCTCAGTAAATGTTGTTGTTGTTGTTGCTTAATGAATAAATTGGGCTGTGAACTCTTAGGGGAGGTCCTGAGCTTCTGGAAAGCTCCTACCTAAAGCACATGGGGCGCTGGGGCCCCGTTATTTCTAACAGCAGGCTGGAAATCTGGCTCTAGGAGCTGCCTCGGATGTCGGGGGTGGGGTGGGGGGATGGGTGTGCTGCTCCCACCACAATCAGAATAACTCGTTTATGCCTCTTTTATCTACCGCAGTTCCATGAACATTTTTGTTTAAAGAAAAAAGGGATAGCCTTGTTTTTGAGTATCTACAAGTCACAAATGTAGGCTTAAAATAAGAAAGACATCATGCTATTTTTATTAGACTTTTTTTGCAAAGCCAAAGCAGTGACGCCCTTCAAGATGCTGTTCCCTTTAAGATCTCACAAACGGAGTCTGCAAATATCTTCTCCACCGTTGTGCGTGAAGAACGTTTCACGAACCAACGAATGTGCTGATTCCAGAGCCTGAGGTAGGAGGTTGGACCAGAGAGGCTCTACTATGTTTAACTGGTGTCTCTTTCTCTCTCCTCTGCTTCCATCTAAGGCTGGCGGGATGGGCGTAATGCTGCCCAGATAGAAAGCAAAAGATAAAGCAGATGGGGACAAAACAGGGCCAGAGGCGGCCTAGAGGAAATCTGCTGTCTGCAGACAGCGGAACAGGCTGGAAGGTGCCAGCAATGACAAGGGGGGTGCAGGGGGCTGGAGAGCAGGAAACAAGCTCCAGTGCCAGGACCAGGGAGAGAGAACTGGCTTCTTCTTCCAGGTACAAATGGCGCCTGGTTTTCCCATCGTTATGCTCTCTGCTATGAGCGGTTTGAACCTCTCCAGAGTGATCCGTCCATCACATGACAGCTCAGATCAGGTTTGCTTTCTGGATGCAAAACCCACAGCTACAACAGGAAGTGGCATCATTCACGGGACATGACAGTGTTCCCTTCTCTCCCTCTCTCTCAGTCTCTCTCTCCCTGTCCTCCTGGTGGAGAGTGGTACTTACATGTGGGGCAAAATGCTCCAGGCACAAGACTCAGGACAAGATGGTAGGATTGGCCCCTGGACTTGCTGAACTTTACAAAGCGGTGCATTCAGGGCTGCAAACGGAACACGGGCAGCTTCTCTGAGCTCAGCTCCAGCCCCGCCATGAAGGCAGGTGTCGTAGACTCCAGATGGGGGCTGTAGGTCTGCGAAGGCCAGCGCCTGCTCCCCGGGGAGAGAGCGCCTGGCTAACTGCCAAGCCTCATCACCACATGAGCATCATCCTTTGGAGTCCTGATAAAATGAGACAGGACAGTAATGACCAGCAGGCAGAGAGGCACATGCTGGAAGCACACACTGGATTCCCATTGGGAAAATGCTAGAAGGCTGCCCTTTAAAAAAAAAAAATCTGACACAAAAAATTTCCTGTGCTAACTGTCCAAGACCTCAGCTCTTTCTGAGTAACTTGGGTACCATTTAATCCATTCACCTCAGCCCATCAAGGATCTATCTGCATGAGTCATACCTATGGAAGCCCAGCCTCAACGAGGCGGCCCCAGGAACAGGATGTTCACGGCCTGGCTGGGTGGCCTATTGCAACTTTGAAGAGCTCAGACTTTTAGAAGCTCCTTTCTTTTATCAGTTGAAAACCTATTTCTCCACAATGTCAATTCTGCCCTCGAGGTCGCACAGAGAAATGAGTTTTTTCCCATTCATAGAAATATCTATCCCACATCCAAAGGCAGCTACCATGCCAACTACTCAACTTTTCCACTCCAGCATAAACACTGCTTGTTGCTTCAACCCTCTCCAGAATCTGTTTAGATTTATAAATGATGGTTTTACATGTGTGATCAAACATTAAAGGCATCCCAAGTAAGTCTAACCAGTATGGAATACAGTGAGCCTGTGAGTTCCCAGATTCTGGCCACCCAAACGCTTTCTGGTTTGGAGAGTTTCTAGAATCTGCCTGTCTCCCCATTTTGAAATTGGAATGTGTCCTTATCTCTGATTCTCTGGAGCCTCCCGCATTCCCCACGATTCGTCGCGTTACCAAGAGCTGTCTATGTGCCAGGATGTGATTGGGTAAGAGCCGGAGACACGAATCTGCTCCAGCGAGGCTCTAGAGGGTTCTTCCTGCTCAATTCAAAGCGTCGTGCACAGGTCCATTGTTCTTCAGATCAACTCTATCAGGACAAATGTGCTACTTGCTCATTTTACTGGTAATAAAAGCAAGGCCCAGAGGCATAAGTGACTTCCAGGAGCCCAAGGCCACTTGGTGAAGGGTCCTCAATCTTACCCGAAACCTTCAAGCCCCTGCACCCCACCCTGAACCTCATCCCTAGAAAGAATGACTCTTCACCCTTCTGGAAGGCACCTCCCATGCGGCAACTGCAGAGACCAGAGGCTGCTGTCCATCACCATCTCCACCCGCAGATGGGGAGGGTACCAAAGGTACTGCCACCGAGGGAACACTTGGAGGCTGCAGATAAGGACTGAGCCTGAGGCTTGAAGAAGTGCCTTTTGTTCTCTGACTCCTCCCGCGCCCTCCGACCTCTTACTCCATGCCCAGGAAATCTCACTCCTCCCGACACAGGGGACACATTTACTTCTTCTTGATAACAGAATCCTAAAGGCAGCCCCCAGTCTGTCCCTCCCGGTGCCAGCACGGAGGCAGAGACCTCTGGTGACAAATGAGTCGTGCGTGGAGCCTCAAAAGAGGCCCGAAGGTGGCAGGAGCCGGAACTTTCCAGTGACTTTTATGTTCCCTTTCCGAAAGGCTGTAAAGAAAACAAGACATAAAATGCCTCCCCTGTATAATTTGCTGGTTTATAGGTGGTTTCATCACTTTTTTTAAATGGCTATCCCAAGTGATCTTTATGTTCCCCTTATGGTGGGTACTGCACGCCCTGAGAAAGCTGAGGGAGCGGAGGAAGTCGGGCGGCCCCGGAACAGGTGCTCACCACCTCCCCCGCCCGTTCTGTGGCCTGGCAGCGATGGGTGGCGGGGCGCGGGCCGGCCTCACGGACCTGCCATCTGGGATGCTTGCACCCTGCCACCCCCACAGGGAAGGTAAGTGGGCTCCCCCGAATTTGAATTTACAGCTGAAAGGACCATGCTATAGAGATATAATTAGAGATGGAGGTAGAGGCGGAACATGCCCCAGCCTGCCTCCCCTCTACACCTGATGTGGTGAGACCATGCCCCAGCCCGCCTCCCCTCTACGCCTGGTGTG